AAAAAAAAAAAAAAAAAAAAAAAAAATTCCAACTCATTCTTTGACACTGCATACATTTTGCAAATTTGAAATACCACTATTTATCAGAACTTAAAATATTTAGTCAAAGATATTTTTAGAAAATTGTGTATCCTTAAATACTTTTAATTTTAAAAATCGAGTTCTAGTTTTGTTTCTCCTCCAAAGTACAGCTAAAAGTCCTGGATATTATATAGAAAACAAACTCAAGAAAGAAGCTAGTCTAGGGACTTTAGGACCTGAAAATCCTACAGCAATGAATTTCCTGGGTTTTCCTTTTACCTTGTATTACTTGGTCTCAATGCCAGAGAAGCTGTCGTCCCAGAAACACAAACAGGAAAGAGCAAACACAAAGAAGAAACCAGGAAAAATATTCTCCTTCTACCCAAAGAAACAAGAAAGCAGCATCCTGTCCAGGCATCCTAGTTACTGTTTTGCTCTAGCCAAATACCTTGGCAGAGTCTAAGCCTCATTCCCTCTCCCCTCCAGCAGAGGCTAAATGAGGATTCTAGACTTCTACCTTCCCATGGCTGTGGTACTCCCCTCTCCCTCTAGGGGGTAGTATCAAAAGCAGACGTAGTGAAGAATTTAGTTTCATCCTTGTCTACAGCCCAAGAGTTTCTCCTACTTCACTCAATGTGGAAGCCCCAGATTTCCACTCTCACCCACCAATAATAAAAGAGTGGACCCTTGCCTAGCAGCAAGTGCCAGGGGAGACCTGGCAAATCAGGAAATTTAATAAGATTCAGAGTCTCATAACCTGATACCAAAAATTACCAGAATATAATAGAAAATCACTCACACCAAAGTTTAAGAAAATGTCAACTTCAATGAGAAAATATGATCGATAGACACCAATACAAAGTTGACACAGATGTTGGAATTATCTGACAGATTTTAAGGCAGTTATAAAAACACTTTGACACACAATCACACCCACATTTGAAACAAATGATAAAGTAGGAAATCTCATCAAAGAAACCAAAGATAAAAAAAATCAAATGTAAATTTTTGAACTGAAATATAACAAATGAAAAACAGATGCAACAGAAGAATAGCAATGAGAGTGAACCTGAATAGAGAATTACAAAAATGACCTTTCTTTTTTTTCTTTTTTTTTTTTGTTGTTGTTGCTGTTGTTTTGAGACAGGGTCCCACTATGTAATTTAGGCTTGCCTTGAACTCACTCTGTAGCTGTGGCTGGCCTTGAATTTGCAGCGATCCTCCTGCCTCAGCTCTCCCAAGTGCTGGGATTACAGATGTGCACCACCACTTTCAGCCAGAAATGACCTATTCTAAACAGTGTATCATACGTGTGCATAATAATATATAAGTAAATGCTCAAAAATCTATATGAGGAAGGAAAAATATGTGTGATATAAACATCAATTCTAAAAAAGCAGAAATGGAGACATGAATATCAAATAATAAATTTTACAGTAAAAGAAAAGACAGGTAAAAACATTACAAATGAAAAAGGAAATAGAGAAACAAAAATAGAAGATGGGGACAGGGATTTAGCTCAGTGGCACAGCGCAAGGTCCTGAGTTCTATCCCTAGTACCAAAAACAAAAAAATAGAAGACACTTTAAAATTATAAAACAATATCATATATAATTTTGTAAATCTAGACAGAATTGATAAATTTTCTGGAAAAATATAAATAGTATAATCTTTATAAGAAGTGTTCATAATATTATGAAACTTCTGAAGAGCATAAAAATAGTTTAATTACTTAAGAGCCATATAAACTTCCTAGATGGAAATACTTAATATTGAGAGCACGTCCATTCTCATTAAAAGGATCTTTCAATTCCATGTAAAAATAAAACCACAAATTTTATGAACAACCCCAATCTAGATGCCATGTGGAAATAAAATGTACAAGAAAACCAAAATTTTAAAAAAGAAAGTGAAGGAAAGATCCATCATAATTAAAATGACAAATATAGCATTTTAAGTAGAGAATAGAGTGTAAATAAATACATATTGAAAATAGTTCATTTAGGCTCACTACCTTCATGCAAACACAAGTTCTCAATAGATTAAAGAGCTAAACGTAAAACGTAAACCTATGAAAATATTGGGAGGAAATATGGAAGAATGTTTTTTCAGTCTTAGGCTGATGAAAGCTGTTCTTTGCAGAACAGAAAAAGCAGAATTTTTAAAACATGAAAATTTAAATAAGTCATATATATAAAATTCACCAATGATGAGGTTGACAGGCAGGTAAACTAGATAAAACATTGCCATGCAAGAAAATGGTAGTTTTGCCAGAAAGTGTTCTTGAAAGTCATTTTCTCTAAAAAAGACAACTACCTAATGGGAAAATGGGAAAAGGTCATAAACAGGCATTTCATGAAAGAAGTGCAAAGGGCCAGTATATACATAAAAACATGATCAACCTTTTTAGCAATAAAATTAAAACAATATCTTCTTGTTTTATCTATCAGATAAAGACTAAAAGCGTTATTAATGCCCATTCTCATTAAAAGTATGGGAAAAGCCACTTTTATAATGACTATAATTTAGAGTATCATTGGCATGATATTTTAGTATTAATTTGGCAGTCTGTGATTTTTCGTATGTATTTATTTTCTCCTAACAGTTCTATTTGTAAGAATTTAGCCTGAGAAAATGATAGAATAAGTGCATAAAAATTTGAGTACAATGATCTTACATATAGTGTTTATTATACTATACTATAGAAACTAAATGTCTACCATAGAGCTTTTACAAAAGACAATTAGAAAAAGCATAACATGAAATACTATGTGCAGTATGAACTCTTTCACATAAAATAATTCCTGGATCTTTAGACATTTTTATGCCTATACACACATATAAACCAACACTCATTATGAGAGATAATACATATAAAATGTTTATCACAGGGCTTGGCATATGACATTCAAAAATAGTAGCTGCAGTTTTTACTGTAAACAGGCAATAGTCATTAAACATGCTGCCATCAGGCACTGTGCTTATGACAAATAAGATACTGCCTTGTAGGAACTCTGGTGTACTGTCCGTAACCCCTTTCCCTTTGTCCATTCTGTAATGTTGGTTCTCAGATGAGTTGTTGTATTACAGGATGGTCAACAAAGAGCATCTCCTTTATAGCACCACCAGAATGTTGGTTTGAAATAATTGAAAGGCTTTCCCTTGTTTCAAAGTTAAACTCACAAAGATTGTTTTAAAATTCTCTCCATTTCAAGATGAAGATGGAACCAGCTTAAATTCAAGTATCCTGGCAGCACTCAGAAAAATGCAGGATGGCTATTTTGGCGGGGCAAGGTATGTGACCTGTATACTCTTTTTAGTGAAACAAAATGATGTTTTGGAGCTGAGTACAGTAATGGCAGACATGTAATGCTTTCTGTGTATCTTCAACAACATATGAGGTGTGATCAAAAATATGGCAAATGTTTCAATACAAATAATGTATTACAGTAAAGGACACGTTGCCATTAGCGTCCTTCGGAATACTCTCCGCTGCGTTGAATACATTTACGCCATCATCCTTGCCAGTTTTTGAAGGTGTCCTGGAAGTCTTTCTTTGGAAGTGTTTTTAGTTGAACTGTTGTAGCTGCCTCAGTGTCCTTAATCAGTTCATAATGTTTACCTTTCATGCTCATTTTGACTTTGGGAAAAAGCCAGAAGTTGCACTGTTCCAGATTCAGTGAATAAGGTAGATGAGAACACAACATAATGTTTTTATGAGTCTGCCCTTCTGTTGGATGGCAACAGCATTCCTTGTGGTACTTTTATAGCATCTTCCTAAAGACACTCACAAAAGATGATTTCCAACACTGCTTCAGAAAGTGACAAGAATGATGGCGTAGGTGTATTAGAAGTGAGGGGGAGTGTTTTTGAGGGAGGACTAATGGCAGTGTATCTTTTACTGTAGTAAATTTTTTTATTCAAACATTCACCATACATTTCAATCACACTTTGCAATCCTACTCTACTCAGAGAAGCTAGTGATTGATAGATCTGATCAAGGGATTTAATGTTCTAAAAGAAGCCTGGAGTTTGTTATACCCTATCCTTTGCCAAGATCTCAGGGGAACAGAAGAAAAGTCATTGAATTATGCTTTGTTACTTTGCTTTTTCTTTTGTTTTTATTTTGAAAAATTTCAAGCTTAAATAAATTTTCAAGAATTTTCAAGAATGAGAACCCATACACCCTTTCTAAAAATTCACTTACTTTTTTTGTTCCATTATACATTCTTTGTCTCTTCTCCT